TTTTCCACAATAATACTCCAACTGCGAGTGTTAGCAACTGCTGTGGATTTCACTACACATCTCGTCAAGACTTAACTTTTGTGTCGTCAACTATTTGAGAGCACTTATTCTTTCTTACTCAGCATGAGGCCTATGATACTTTGCTAAATTGCAAGACATTCTCAACTCCATTCCAGTGATCTATATCTAGACTAGACTTCTGCCAAAATATCCCGGATACGTTAACTACGTTAGGGTAAATTCTTACTTGTACTTGTACAATCATCAAGCTTCCAACAGCTGAAGCATATAGAACCATATTCATTTGATCGATCTCATATCGGTTCCTAGAACACTTAAAGTTGCCAAATCTATTACCCTTGACTTTAAGAGCAGGCGTAGGTTTACCCGCATGCATACTTTATTTCTTTAGAATCTTTTCTAAGTATGCCTTTGCGATAGTCCTAATACTCCATTTTCTTCTATCTCGGTGAATTTTGATTCCTAGAACCAATGACGTTTCACCAAGGTCATTCACATTGAAACTTGAGGACAAAACTTCTACTTCTCCAATGATAGATTAACATCACTACTAGTGAGTAGAATGTCATCTATTCACAGGATGTGGAAAAAGAATTTTCCATTCTTAAACTTCGCATAAACACTATTGTTCTTCTTATTTTCTTTGAACCCAAACTTTCTTATCGTTTCATGAACTTCAAATACTGCTGTCTAGAGACTTACTTTCAACCCATAAATGGATTTCCACAGGCGTCATCCCATATGTTCTTTTCTTTCATGATAAAACCTTTTGGGTTGTGCCATGTAAATGTTTTTCATACAAATCCCCATTGAGGAATGACGTCTTTACATCCGTCTGATATAACTATAAATCGTATTGTGCCATGAACACCATTATGATTCTAAAAGATTCCTTGCATAAGACTAGAGAGAAAACTCTCATTGTAATTTATTCATTTTTCTTTGCTTAAAGCATATTGCCATAAGTCGTGCTTTATATCTTTCTACATTCCCTTTGGAGTCACATTTTGTCTTGTAGACCCATTAACAGCCTACTATTTTGACTCCATTAGGAATTACTTTTAAGTCCCAAACATCGTTGGTATTCATTGAATTCATTTCAACTTTCATAGCTTCTTGCCATTTAAATGAGTAAACACTTCTCATGGCTTCTTTAAATAAGATGGAATCACCCTCCATTTGAATTTCTTTACTAACATAGACTTCATAGTCATTGGAAAAACTGGTTTTATTAATTCTTTGAGATCTTTTGAGGCCTCATCTACTAGCACTTTTCATATGGGGCTGTTGTTGCTATTCATTGCCAAGAGGCAATTGATTCTACAAGCTCCTGTATGACAAGATCCTTGTTTACATTATTCATCTTCTTCAAAAAGCCAACAACAGGTGTTGTATAAGTCATACAATAGGTGTTGTATAAGTCATACAACATCAACAGGTATTGAGAGATTCATTGTTTTTGAATAACTGAAGTGGGCATGCAGTCTCGCTTCTCTTCAAGTTTTAGGTCTCTACATACCTCTACATACCATGCTCCCCTAGATCTTCTCATCTTTTCTAAAAATAGTGTGTCTTCAAATATCTTATTTTGGGTTTAATCCGTTAAAATCTCATATGGCGCTTTAAGCACCACCTTAACATCTTTGAGACTGACTACGCTATTTTCCTGTTGGAACTTTAAAAGGTCTAGGAATTTAGCTATATCTCTGCTTAGGGGTATCATTGTTGTAACCGTTGTACTCCTCCGACGGTCGCATACATCTTAATTAATCTTTATCTCACTCTTAATGAAGAGTATTTTTCTTAATTAATCTTTATCTCACTTTTAATGAAGGGTATCTTTCTTAATTAAACTTTATCTCACTCTTAATGAAGAGTATTTTTCTTAATTAATCTTGATATTCTCCCCCTCGAAATATGGCATGAACTTTACTGCTATAATTTCGATAACTATTTAGAAAGCCTGTAAACGAGGAGACACTTTTAACTTATTTTATTCACATGATTGTGTCATGTAAATAAAGTTATTTTTAATCTGTTTAGGAGTACACTTTCCTTCATTCACTTTAAAAACTCAATGAGGTCTTTCATTAGCAGTACTTTTGCAAGTCACGCTTGTATCTTTTCCTTATCCTTTAGTTAGTATTGACCATGACGAGGCATTTCTATTGTGCTATGGTAAAATACTAGGATAGCATAAGAGCTACCCAAACTTCTCTCACTATGCGGGATAAAAAATATGTGAGTCATCACAAAACTTCTCCCGCCATGTTGGATAGACTAGCATAATTACTATGCCAAAACTTCTCCTCATGCGGGATACATCTATACAAAAACTTAGTCATGACGGCTAAAACATTCACTTATACTTTATTTTCTAATTAAATCTTCCCGTTGGTTCCAATTTAATCAGAAAATTAGTAAACTAACAAAAACTGTCCTGAACTGTCTTGACTTAAGCCTTTTCGTTCACATACCCTAGCATTGCAGCCCGTTGGCATGCAGCCGAGTGATCTCGTCGGTTAAAATAAAACATACAATATGCTTCTACATCACCGTTGGGCAAAAAATAGAATTAATGCATAAAACTCATAAAACTACTCTTCAAAATTAAATTTTCCTATTGGTTCGAATTTAATTACAATATAATCAACATCATTGCAGTGGAAATATGTTAATAAAATACATTCTATTAGTTCAGGAGCATTTCTTGGTTCTTATCTACTCTCTGAAGAAATATATCAGAGATTTAAACCTCAAATTTAAATTCATTATAATATTGTCATTATCAACGTTGGTCAGAAAATAACAATACCATAATCTTACATAAACAAAAATGGACTACTCCTCTAATTAAATTTTCCCGTTGTTTCCAATTTAATTAGAGGATCAACATAATCATAATTTTCTAAATATAACTTCTCTTCAAATTAAATTCTCCCGTTGGTTCAAATTTAATTGTAAGATAATAAACATTAAACTTTGCAGGAAAAATATGAGAAATAATAATTATCTACTTTTCAGAAGAATTTTCTTGTTCATATCTAACTTTTGGAAAAAAGTAACACGTTGGTGTAATTTTACTAGAAATTTTAAACCTTCGAAATTCATCAAAATTCATTCAAATCTGCTTCTGAAAATTAAATAAACTTCAAAAGCTATTTACTGTTCTTTCTGGCCCGGCCTACAGCAGCAGTAAGCGGCCCCGCAGCGATAGTACTCAGCCCGGCCTGCAGCAGCAGTATGCGCGCGCGGTCTCGTGGCACCTCCCCCGCGCCCAGGCCGCAACCTGGGACTAGGCCGACAAAGTCTCCAGCCGCGCTCGCCCGCCTGGGTCGATTTTGGTCCGATCGCTCTAGTCCATTCATCCAGATCCGACGGTCAGGCATCGACTTCGGGGTAACAAAACCCCCCGGCCGACCGCGATGCCGAAACCCTAACTCATTCGCTTCTGCTCATTCTCTCTCTTCGCCTCGCATCTTTCTCTCCTCAGTGTAGCGAGCAGCAGCAACCGAGCGAAAGCAAGCGTGAAGATGGCGCCGTCGCCGTCGCCGGTCCCCTCGCCAATGTGCACGCTCCCTAACGGGTGAGCACGCTGCTGTTGAGCGGTCTGGGCAGCGGTGCCCTAATCCCCACGCGCGCTACGGTGAGGAGGTTCCAAAACCCTAGATCTGACCTGGCCGCTTCTCCTCCTCTCTCTTAGCCCAATGAGCAGCAGCGCCGACCGAGCAAAGGGAGAGACTATGGCGCCATTGCTGGCCCCCTCACCGACGCGCGCACTCCCCACGCGGGTGAGCACACTGCCGTCGAGCAGACTAGCGGTGGCACCCTTGGCTGGAGCTCACACTCACTTGACGAGCAACGGCTCGGCCGTCTTCCCACGCGCTGGCGAAAACAGGAACGCGGTGCAGCGGCGAGGTAAGCCATCTTCTAAAGCCCTTCCCTTCTTCAATTTGAATGGATTTTTCTTTCTTTTCTTCTCAGATCTATCCGATTTAAGGTTGGGGATGGGGTTAGGATCGAGATTAGGGTTAGGTTTTCCTTACTGTTCATCTTCCCTGAGTGGTTCACGTGGGTTAGGGTTAGAGTTACGTATTCATGGGGATTCCTAGGGTTCATCCGAATCACCTCCTTCTAAAAGCTTCTTGCTTTCTACCCCAAACACTAGATCTATACTTAGACCGGCTCTGATACCATTGTTAGTCATATAGGATCATTAGGAGCATAGATCTAGCTGGTAGAATGGTTCTATTCGGGATAAAAGATGTAGCGCATCCTAATACATGTAGAACTAGAGAGACAGAGAGGGGAGGGAGAGAGGTGAGATGTCACCGGTCATCGGAGGGTTTGGCGGTGGAGCTGGAGCCGTCCATAGCGATGTCAGTGACGCTGTGCAGTTCGAAATGGTGAAGGCGGTGGTGCGGAGGCGGTGCCATCTCGGCGACGACAAGGCAGTGGGTCTTCCCGTCGCTGGCAGCACCATTCTCTCTAGATCGGGTTAGGGTTTCTCTATGGGTGGGTTGCGGTGGCTCAGGTCAACCTCGTACTTTGTGCTTCGGCCCCACCTCCCTTTTATGGTGCTATGTGACGGGGGCCCACCAACCATGGAGCAGTTGGGCGCCCCCGATCAGGGCCCGGATCCAAGGGCCCAATTGGTGGAGATCAAACTAATAGTTCGTTGCCGACGCCACCCACCTGTTGATATGCTTCCTTGCTGCTTCTGACTGCATGCACCATCGATGATTCGTCAAGAGGGTAAGTAGTAAGTACTAATTAGTTGCCAGGATAGATATAGATTGATTGATGGAATTGGAACAACGACTGTTGGTTGGTGACCTTGTTGACAAAGTCGATGGCGCGAGCCACGGCCCTGCAGGACGCGGCGGTGATGTCGCGATAGGATGGCTTGAGCGTCCACGCGGCATCATGCATAGGCCGCACGCGTGCTCCACACGTGGGCCATCACTTGGCTTCTGCTTCTAGGAGCCTACGTCCGGGAGGGCGCGCTTCACCATGCAGCACACGTTCTCAGCGAGGCTCTCGCGGGACTTGGCGCCGAGGATGTCGAGGAGCTTGCGTAGCGTGCGCCCCTTGGCGCCGACGGCCGCCAGGGAAAATGCAGAGTAAATGGATAGGGGCGAGAAGACGAGGTTGTTGTCGGCGGACGACGACCTGCTCTGTCCACCACTGCTAATGCCTTCGGGGCAGTCATTAGCGATGGCCCCCGCTACTGCACCGCGGCGCACCATCGTCGTCCATCGCGATCTCGGCCGCCGATAGATGTCGCTTTGTATCAATGTATATAGGTTTATTATTAGGTACTAAGGCTTTATATGTAGAGATAGGTAGTACAATGCGCACATGTCCTTGAACCTTGTAACTTGATGACCAAGAAGGCAACCATATCTAAATTGTTGGCTTTGCACGATAAAAAAGGAAAACGACGTGAAAAGATCAAATTCATCTCTACATATATGTCCCGCAATCAGCATAATCACCGAGAAAAGGAAATCGTCGATTAAAAGAGAAGAGATCCGACCGCCTGGTAACGCCCGTAGTTCCCTTGTGTATCTGCTTGCTTGCCTTCGCTTGTTAGAGCATCTCCAAGAGTTCCCTAAAAATTCATCCTAAAAAGTTCATGTTTTCCAGCTCCTAAAAAGGGATTGGGAGAAAAAAAGATCTTCTCCAATAGTTCCTAATATTTCAGTTCTAAAAAATTAAAAATTGGTCCCACCTTATTTTTTTGGTCTTTCTTTCATTCGCGTGGAAGTCGTCGCGTGGTCGTGCTTCGCTACACCGTCGCTGCCTCCTTCCTCGGTCTTGCCCTAGCCGTGCTCCTCCCAACCGGCGGTGGTCTGCTTGCAGTCGGCCATAGCCTCCTCTGAGCCGGCCATGGTCACTTTCCCAGTCGGACGTGGCCCGGTCCTAGGAGGCCGGCAGCACCTCCCAGCCACAGCAATCCGGCAACACCTTCTAGTAGACCGGCCATGGCTGCTGAGAAGTCACTTCTTCAAAGGGAGTTGGATGATACGATGATGATTGTCTCATCTTATCAGCTGCTACAATTGTTGAAATATTTTCGAATAAAAAAGGAAGACATGGTGGTTCTGTCTTAGGCCATAAAGTTATTTATCGAGATAGAGAAGATGGGAACCAAAGGATGTTTCAAGATTACTTGGCTGATGATCTGACATATGGCCCAAATTTATTCCGTCAGAGGTTCATGCGTATTCACTTGTGATATGATCACTAGTACGCTAAGTAATTGTTCTAAGATTTATTTTATTTTTTAATTTCAGGTACAAGATGAGTCCGGATCTTTTCCTATGCATAATGAATGCTATAGAATCATACGATGACTACTTTGTGCAAAAAAGGAGTGCAGCCAATGTTCTTGGATTAAGTTGCTTCCAAAAAGTCACAACAACATTTCGTATGCTAACATATGGAGTTCTAGCTGATGCTACGGATGAGTATGTTCGCATTGGAGAAAGTATCGCAATTGAGAGCCTACTCAGGTTCGTTGCTACAGTTGTTGATTTTTTTGAAGAAGAATACCTCAGATATCCTAATGAGGCTGACACAACACGGTTACTGGCACTCGGTGAGCAAAATGGTTTTTCTGGTACGTTAGGGTCCATCGATTGTATGCATTCGGCGTGGAAGAATTGTCCTCTAGAGTGGCAGGGCCAGTTAAAGGGGCATATGGAGGAGCCCATTATAATTTTGGAGGTTGTTGCTTCTAACGAGCAACAATCTTCTGCTGCATATCTGTGTAGTACTGTTGCTGCAGCGGGGTCAGGGCGCTAATGTCCACTGCCATTATTTTATCTTCCTTTTCGATCGTGTCATTTTTCACCTTCCTCAATTCAGCTTCTATCTTTTTTTTCTTCTAATGCCAGGCGCTTTTTCTCTAGCTCAAGTGAAGCCATGTACCTCTCCTCTTTCTTCTTCTCTTTCACCATGTCAAATGCCTCCTTCTTAGCCATCCAAAGCCTCCATGCAAGCTTCACCTCCTCCTCGTCTTAGAGCATCTTTTGCCTTCTTTGGGCCTCTTTGTGGCTTCAGACTCTAGGGGTGTAATCTCAGTGACATCTTTAGTGATGTTGTCTTGTACATTCGTGGGAGTGGAGTCCGGGCGAACCTTCTGTCTCTTCTTAGCGGCTTGCTTTAGCTCTGCCAGTTCCCTCCTCTTGGCCTTCCACTTCTCTTCATCCTTCAAAATGTTCCAGCAATGCATCAAAGTGAATGTCTTGTCAATGTTCATTCCTTTGAACATAGTTAATGCTTCAGAAACCTGCAAACATATGTGTTTATTAAATATCAACGTGTATGTGTTCTAAGATGAATGAAATATGAAATTTTTTTTACATTAACACTAACCTTGTCTCGAATGGTTTTTCCACTTTGATTTCTACGGTCAATCACATCATAGCAGGCACAATACTTGTTGACATTCTCCAAAATAAACATCTATCTATACATTAGTGAACTCTCTGTTCGGCTTGGAAATGACTTCCTATGGGTCTCATAGTACTCATAAATTCTACGCCAAAAGGAGGCATGAGACTGAGTAGCTCCTTGCACGGGATCTTTGTTGACGTTCAACCAAGCCGAGACAACAATTTTATCCTCGTCCAGAATGAATTTTTTTTGCCTCTTGGCGTTTGGCCTTGGAACGCGTGGGCGTTTACTACTAGCACTGGGCTACACTTCTACAACTTCAACAGCTGCTGCCGCCCGCACTTCATCTTCTTCAAGACCAGCTCCTACGTGCACGTCCTCATATGGCTGCGTTTCCTGTGTCATGGGAAAGGTGAACTCGTCCAAAGAACGAACACCCTCAAATCCCGTGACCAAGTCAGTCTAATATCCACCACCGGACATTGTGAGGAGCCTGCAAATATGGACAAACAAATCATTACCAAATGCCATGAATAATAAAAATTTATTTACAACATCATAACCATAACAATCTTGAAAGTAATATTCAGAAAAAAAATCTGAAAGTAATGTTTACAACTTCATAACCATCACAACCAAGATACACTACAGGTGCCCAGCAGCCGGCCAGCGGCATCATAACCTGGTGAACAGTACCATGCAAGCAGACACACAGTGTCATCGATCAAACAGCTAGTACTGAAAGCCTGAAACGCTAACCGAATGAAAACTGAAAAACAGCTAGCCTACTGTACATATCCGGCAACAGGCTTAATTGCTAACAGCAAGCAGGAGGCAAGTACTCCAATAACAGTACCATGCAGTGGCCAACATCAGTGCACAGTAGCATGTAGGAATAGGCAACAAGCAGGTAGGCTATATGCTTTCAGTACCAACATATACAGTGCACCAGGCACACAGCGGCAGAATACACACGGCGGCATCACACAGCCAGCGGGCAGCCACAGGGTGTCACGGCCTCGCACACAGAGGCAGCAGCCCGCTATGGCCTGGCACAAAGGCGGCATCCGGCCATGACCTAGCACGGCAAGAAGATACGGACGGCTTCTGATCCAGTGACACAAGAACATAGCAGCAGATCGATCAAAAATAGCACGGCCATGGCAAAACATAGGCGGCGGCCGGCAGGAAGCCATGGCGGTGGCGGTGACGGCGCAGCAAGCCCACGGCAAATCAGTAGATCGGAGTACGTATCTCGTCGCTACGTCCGTGTCAGCGTAGTTGGTCGACCTGGACGGCGAGCGATGGAGGAGAGACGTCGATCGGTCTAAGTACGTGGGAAGGAGGGAGCAACCACTACTACACAAACTTTACTGGAGGCAGGTGTTTTCGGTTTCCCGCGGCGGGCAAAGCTGTCCGCCGCGGCCTAGAGGCCACGGTAAATCGTGGCTTAACCGCGGTGGGTGGCTTTGGCCGCCGCGGTTAACCGATTTCCCGCAGCGGGCTCTTTAGGATACCCGCCGCGGTTAATAGTTTAAAAAAAACAAAAAAAACCCAGGAGCCCGTCGGCGAGCCCATTCTCGAGCACACCGACGAGCCCGTTCCCAACCCAATACCAGCGCCACCGCACCTCGCTGGATCCGCCGCCGGGGTCTCCTCCTCACCGTATCCGCCGCCGGAGAGGTCATCCTCGCTGGATCCGCGGCCAGGGAGGACGACCTCGCCAGATCTACGGCCAGGGAGCGTAGATCGACCGGATCCGTGGCCGTGGACGAAGAGGAGGCCGGACCCGCGCCGTGGACGACGAGGGCGCTCGATCCGCCGTGAGGCCATGGAGGAGGCTGTCGTCGTCGATCCGCCGCCGGGACGCCTCGATCTGCCGTCAGGAGCCTCGATCCGTCGCCTTGGTCGCCCTTGGACGAGGTCGCCACCATCGCGCCCAGCTGTCGTGGCCCCGTGCGTGCCGTCGCCTGGATGGCCGTCGCGCGCTGCTCGATCCACACGACTGGATCTGACCCCGCCGCGACTGGATCCTCTGCCGCCGCGGCTCGATCTGTCCCCCCCGCGAACGGATCCGCCGCCAAGGGGTCGCTGCGACCCGATCCATGCTTGGTGGCAGGGAAGAAGGTGGAGGGGCGCCGGATCCGGCCTTCCCCCACCGCTGGCGAGCCGGCCACGCTCGTGCCGCTCTCCGCCCCGGGCCTCCGTGCCTCCGGGCCACGCCGAGAGGCCGGCCATGCCCGCGAGGCTACGCCTCCTCTCCGGAACGCCGTGCCTCCGGCCAACGAGGCTGAGCCGCCGCACCTTCGCGCCGAGAGGCCACCACGGCGAGCTCCACCACCCTGCCAAGAGGAGTGAGGGAGGGAAGAGAGAGTGAGAGGTGAGGAGGAGGGGAGACGGGAGTGGAAGGAGAGGGGTGCGGTGAGATGGGAGGGAGAGGAGTGAGGGGAGGGCGAGCTCCACCACCGCGTGAGAGTCCTTCGGCTTCGCGGCCGTCTCGCGGCGAGTGGGTGAAACCCTAACACCTCCCTTTTATATGAAGCCCAGTAGATCGGCTGATTTGGGCTCAAAATTGGGCCAGCATTTTACGTGACGGGCCTTATAGGATGCCCGCCATGGTAAATCGATTTACCGTGGCGAGCATCTTAAGACGTCCGCCACGGTAAATGCCCTATTTACCGTAGCGGGTATCTTAAGACGCCCGCCACGATAAATTAATTTACCGTGGCGGGCTAAAGTGCCCGCCACGGTAAATAAAAAATGCCCGCCGCGGTAAATCGTGGCATCTACCGCAGCGGGCAAAAATAGGTGACCGCCACGGAGTGCAAAAATGCAACGCTGCGCA